CTATAAAAAAAATCATATGCAAAGACTGTATACACTTTACTTATTTTTTATTTTATCATTCTGTCAGTTAATAATCAGTACTGAATTAGGTGCATTGATGAGAAAGGTGATTGGTGCAAAATAAATGCTTTTTTCATTATTAGGTTACATTCCAATTTATATATATATATATATATATATATATATATATATATATATATATATATAAATATAAAAACAAAAATATATTTTATGCTGTATTTATAGGTAAAAAAAGTTCAATGTCAGAGATAGAGAATATGTAAATATAAGTGGACACTGGATTCGACACTGAGTAGCTACAGTCTTTCATGCTTGAACACAATCTACATGCTGAGTGTGTTGCGTTTTGACTCTACTATCTGTATATGCTGGTCAGTGGTGCATTATGGGTAATAAAGTCTATTATTCCACCAGTTATTGGGTAGGCAGTAATGTTTAGGTTTTAAGTATTGCCACAAGAAAGTATAAAGGGTTCTGGTGAACAAGAAGGATATAAAAAGTATATATATATATATATATATATATATATATATATATATATATATATATATATATATATATATATATATATTTTTTTTTTTTTTTTTTTTTTTCAGACACCCTGTATTTTAGTTTTGTCATCTCTCATGATGATACATTGTTTTAATCTCCAGAAATTTCTAAAAGGATCATTTATCTAAATTATATGACTGGACAAATTAAAAAATTAAATCCAACATTTCTGAGTTAGAAGCATTACATTACAATGGATTTTTAAACGGCATTTAAATTTTAAATAGTTTGTAATAATAATTGTAAAGTTAGCATGTTTAGAATTTCAAAGTATTCATGTTTTAAGTAGTATATTTCCTCTTATTTTCAAGTGTGAAATCACATGTTCATTAGTTTCATCAGATCTAAAAAAAAAAAAAAAAAAAAATTTGATCATGCTTAGCTGAAAGTATAACTGCATCAGTTGAAATTTAGATGTTAAATTTTTCATTTTTGCGACATATCAGAATTGATAAAAATTTAATTTTTTCATAAGAATTACCAATTAAAACCTGTATGTTGTTTAAGCACACACACACACACACTGCACATGGGTATACAGTTTTCATTTACAGCTATGTTTTTTCTTTTAATCATTTCAACCCAAGCAAGGCAAAAATGCCACTAGTACACAGGTAGTTACAGGGAATGAAAGTGTCACTGCTGACACCAGAGTTTGAATGTGAATCTCTAAACAATGAAAATGTTGACCGCCATAAATAGAGATCTCATGCCACTGACTGGAGTGGTTACAATTACATATTTGACTATTGTGCTAACCTGGACATTAAAGTCGAGTGTCCCGTGTTTCAAGATGAATTAGTACTTTTCTTAGCAGCTCTACGCAATCATGTATTAACTGATAAGTATTTAATAATCTTTCTGTTGACTCTTTACTTTGTTATTAATGTATTTTAATTGAATTTGGTAATTAAATGCTTTATTATTTTACATTGAAGTCTTTCTGTTATTACTTGTATTATTGTGTGTCAGATTACAAAAGAAAGTGAAAGACTGAGAATAGGGGGATTGAGGAAAGGACAAAAGATAAATGGGATTCAAGAAGATAGAAGATGGTAATTGACATTGAATTTAATTTTTTGAAGATTGTAGTTATCAAGGGAGTAAGGAAACTGAGGTGGAAAGTGTGAGAAAAGAAATTGTTGGAGTAGAAGTAGTGGGGTTGCATGTAGTTATTTCAGTAGTAAAAGGGTGGAACCTAGAGGCCAATCTAGTAGTATGTATTTGGGGCACCAGGGGTGGGGGAAAAAAGCTCATCAGAGCAGTTGACTTGAAAAACATTTGTAGAAAAGACAGGGAAGCTATGTCACATGGGTGAGAAAGTAACTGAAGACAAGATGCCTGGTTAGGATCAATTACATTACAGATCCTTCTTTGGATATTACTGATAAATTTTCCTATTTTATTTTTATTATTTAAAATTTATAGAATTTTTTATTGTTTCATAGAAATTAGGGAATAACTGGATTAACAGGGTTTTTCAATGAATGTCTTTGTTCCTTTTTCAAAGCTTATTTCAAGACACCAACTGTTGTGCTTTTTATTAATATTGGTATGTTTTTTCTCTTTGGAAGTTGGTATGAAATAATTTATTAAAGATGGAAAAGTCTTTTTTATTTTAATTTATATATTTAAAAAAAAAAAAAACATTGTTTCTTGAGTGCTTAAAGGGCTGTCATCAGGCAGAATATTCTGTAAAATAGTCAGTGAAGAACAATTTAGAACCTTTTTTTAATCAGCTAGACATATTGTTTTAAAACTTTCTTGTTCTTTTTTGTGAGTGGGTTGTGAGTGTGTGGGAGGGTTATTATGCTAGTTTCCTTGTCCTATTAGTAAATCATTTATTCTCTTTTCAACAAAACACTTATGTTGTAAGTAGTTATGTATTTTATGAATGAGTTTTACTAATGATGATTATTGGCAAGAAAATGTATTTTGTTTATTTTTTAAATACTAGAAATTTTTGGCAACATTCTGATATGTGTTGAAATCATCACAGTATTTAGTATTGTTGAAGTTATCGCTAACATTTTTTGAGATTTACAAACACTACATTTTGTTCAGTTTTGCAAACCAATGAATGAAAGTTGAATAAGCTGATATGTTTGGAAAAATACTTTGACAAAAACTCTACTTCGGTTTTTACGTACACTAGTAAAATCAACTGTACTTTATACCCCCTTATCTGTCTGCACTTCTCCCCAAAATTTGGTTTTGATCGGTCAATATATGGCTATTTTAGAGGGTGTGATGGACAGACAAATTGGAGTCACAGGATTTTATATATAGATAGAAGTGGATGACTTTCATGGTTCGATAAAGAGAAAGATATATTTTTGAATTTAAAGTGACCTTCGACTAAATGATGATTATCCTTAAATCAAAGTGTCTGTCATAATTATGGCTTATTCTAATTTTATTTTTTCAATTTCAAACATGCTAATATCTTGAAATCTGAGTAGATATGTGTCATAATACACATGTTGTTTCATTTATTTATAGAAATATGAAACTTGCTGATTTTTCTTTACTGTTTGATAAGTCAAGAAAAAGATTTTCATCTTTTTGTTTTGCAAAAGCAAGTCCAAGGGAGTGCTAGTCTTAGCTGCTGTTAGTTTCTCTCCCAATTCTGGGGGAAAAAAAAACCCCAAAAAAACCAAAGAGCAATGCTTTTCTTAACTGGACAAAGAGGTTCTACAGATGGTGTCTGCTGACCTTTATGACTTTGCCAGGATACCAGCAGTAATATTCCTCACTCACAGCTTTCTAACAACAGCTGAAGATTTGCTCCACTGCTTCTTTATTTAAACACATCTGGGAAACTGGTGATTCTAATTTAATGTAGTTTCCCTGTGCCTTTTCTATAAATACTTTCATGGTAATTGTTCAAATGAACTCTTTGCCTTAATGAAATTAAGTGCAGTACTAGATTGGTAGAAAGGTCTCATTATTTCACAGTTGAATTGGTTAGATGTAACCATAAGTTCTGTACTAACAGTTTCTTTTCTTGCTTGTGGAACTCTCTTCCAGCTCCATGCTTTCCAGCCAACTTTGATTGCTATCTACTGTCTTCTTGATTATTATTGTATTGTTCTTGTTCCTTAATAATATTTCTCTTTTTTTATTCTTTTACATTCAGTAACCCATTGCATCTTAGTACCTTGTATGGGATAACATGATTAAAAAAAATATATACAGTTTGACTTCTGTGAAGTGATTTTGATCATTGCAAAAGCTACTTTGTTTCATTTTCAATAGAGATGAAAAAACCAAAGATCTACTCAGCTGATTTGTGACTGTTATGGTAGAATTAAGCTATCAGAATATTTGGTACATTCTTGCCTTTAGTATTCAGTTGTAATGTAGACAGTTTCTTCCCTAATACAATAAATACTTTCTGAATGAAGAAAGGTTTCTATAGAGAAGAGAAGTTTAATTATCTCAAAGAATTCAGAAAACCATTTTATATTGCATGCAGAAAGTATATAGACTGCTTTTAAAGTGCTTAAGATAGCTCATGGTAGAAATTTTCTGTACTTAGAAGAATTTATCTAGAGAGAGAGTAAAGCCAAAGAAACATTTTCTTCAAATGAAAATATTGATTTTTAACTCATTGAAAATAATGCTGAATCCTTCAGCCACTTCAGGAAATTGTTTAGGATTCTGAGCATGCTTTTATTGATCTTTTCAATAAATTTTTGTCATTGACATAAAAGATAAGATTTTTCAGACCAAGTTATTTCAGTGATGTTGTCAGTATTTCTTTGTAAATTTTAGATTTTGTTAGTAATACTGAAATACAAATCATAAAATGAATACTTTGAAAATTCAACTCCAAACCTAAGGAAATATATTTGTTTAGCTCCAATAGACTTCAAAATAAACTTGCTATTATAATAATGCTCCTGCCACTGTGCTTAATTGTAGGGAGGACATTTTTTGGCTTGTAAGCTTCATTGATTTCCTCTATACATGCCAGGAGTTGAGGCCAAATAATTCTTGTTTGGTCTCATCTCACTATAAAACAGTTCTAATATTGACTCCCATGTTCTACATGACTTCTAGCATAAGCTAATCTGCATTTTAGGTGTTTAGCATTAGGCAAGGCAGTTTTCCTTGAATGAGACGTCTGAAGTCCTGCTTGATGACGGCATCTAGTAACTGTCTTCAGTGATGCACTCAATCCTCTACATCATTGACAATGTCATTTGGTGTTAAGTAAGGATTCTTTGGGACATCTCTCACAATTTTCCTTTCCATTCTCTCAGAAATTAAGTTTTCTACTAGACTTATTCTCAACACAATGAGTCCTGTTGTACTGATTAATAATACTTTGAATTGTCGATCTAGGAATATTAAAATACTTAGAAAGTGCTGTATATCTATCACCTTGCTTGTAGCCATCAACTATCTTCATTCAGAGCTTCTATGGCCACATCAAGTTGAAACACTGGTTCCCATATGATCACTGAAGTTAAGCAACTACGAACCGGATCAGTACCTAGATGGGTGATCACTTGGGAATACCAGGTGCTATAAGCTTGGATGTGTTGACAACTTTTTTCCATTTCACTGAAACAGCTGTTAAACACTTCTATCTTCCCTTTCTTTTATTCATTTTCTCACTGAACCCAAGTAGCATCGCTGTTTTGTTTATCAAAACATTATTTATGGGGTATTTGCAGGAGACATTAAACATTTCTATCTTCCCTTTCTTTCTTTAACTTTCTCACTGAAATGAAGTAGTGTTTTTCCCCTCTTTCCATGCACCAAAATGGAATAGTCCATTATTTGTTAGGTATTGACAGGACATAATGTTTGTGAAAACTAATGAAGGGAGGGACAAGCACAATTATAATAGGATATTTACCAAAATTCAGGAAAATGGCCCAAAACATGAGAAAAAAATAATGAAAAACTCCTTTAGAAATGACTTTCATTAGTTGTTAACCAAACCTATGCGTGCACACACACACGTAAGAATTTATTAATCATCCCCAATTTAGGATTATGTTTGCTTTTTATACTTTACTGTTACTTGTGTTGTTGCAAAAATTTATAGATCTTTCTCTTTTGAAAGCTCAATTTTAAGTGTGTGGCTAGAGAATGTAAGTATGCTGCTGAGATTTTCATTATGATTTATTGTGAGCAATTTTTCTATTCCTCTCAAGTAATGTTACTTTTTTTGTGTAACCTGAAATTTAGAATTAGATCTATGAATTTTTACATGGTATCTACTTCAGCTTTCTAATAAATTTTTTCTCCTTAGTTTAAGAGTGTCATAATTTGGACTATTTCATCTGGTAGAGTATTTACAGCCATACTTGTAGATTCTGTTTGATAACATTTTAAAAGCTTTTTGAAGTGCCACAATCTGACAAAACTTGGTCTGGAAAGTTTTTATTGATTCTAAGATCAATATTCACATTAATCATACAAGAGACACTGGCAAACTTTGTGTGCTTCATTTAAATGAGTGACAAATTTTGGAGAAATCTGTATTTATTTTCCACCAGCGAGGGGCATCCTTTTTCAAATCTCACAGACTAACACTACAGAATCACAAAGAACTGTGCCAAATAACAGAAACCACTTTGCTTGAGGATTTCGAAACAACAACAGCAACAACTAAAATGCGTAGCACCTGTAACTTGGAGAGGATAATGGTATCAAGAAGCTGACATTCCACAAACATAAATGAAGGAAAGAAATCCCTATCAGTACTGGAAAAGAGAGATAACAGTTACAGGACTTCAGAAACCTATTTTCCTGAAAAATTGTTTTAATAGAAAGATTTTTAAAATTACAACCAAAAACAGAATTAGTTGTTTGGTTACTGAATGCCAAATGTTTCCTTATAAGGAAACGGCCAATATTAAATTAACATTATGCTAATTTTCAATTTTTTGCTGATAAGTTGTTTTAATTTTGATATGAACCAACACAAGAATAAATATTTGTTGCTGCTAGCATAGTACCCATAAAAAACTACTAAAATATCAATCAGCACTTTTGGCTTAGATCAGTGCATTTGTCTGTGCAATCTGCCTCATTACAGAATGTAGAGGTTCACCCAAAATGACAAACCCTACCATACTGGTCAGAACTTTGATAACCTGAACTGTGTGAGGAATGGTTTGAACTCTTGAATCCTAACAGTGATGGATGGTCTTTAAGTTTGAATGTTTTTTATTCTTATATTAAGACAGAAGAAATGTTTCTATAGAGAAGAGAAATTTAATTATCTCAAAGCATTTTGAAATCCATTTTGTATTGCATGTGGAAAGTATATTGACTGTCTTCAAAGTACTCAAAATGACTTAGTGGAAATTTTCTTAATAGTTTAAGTTTGTACTTAGAAGGATTTATCTTATCTTGAGAGAGTAAAGCCAAAGAAAGATTAAAAATATTGATTTTTAACTCATTGAAAATAATAATGAATCCTTCAGCCACACCAAGAAATTGTTTAGGATTCTGAGCATGTATTTATTGCATCAATAGACGAGGGGAGATACCTTCCACTTCCAGATTCATTGGTGTGCTGTGGTGTCAGCAGATTGAGACACACCATCATGAGGTGATGGCAAGTAGCTCAGTGACTTGTTGAGGTCCATGTTCTGTATTTCTCTCTCACTTTCTCCCAGAAATGATGCTATTACTAAAAAGTAAAAGTAACCTAAAGAAGATTCTCTATCATTTATTCAGACTGTGGTGCAGTGTTGGGGCCTAAGGAATTGCCAATAGACCACAAGAAGCCAACACACAACTCAGATCAGTGTAATATCTGTGCACTCTACAAAGTGTTCTACAAGACACCAGAGTACTGGAAATTTCATTGTCTAACTTACTTCCAGAAAGCTGACCAAACATAAAAAAAATTTTTAATTCAGTACAAAAAAAAAAAGCTATATATTTTCAGAGAATTTTGTACAGATGATCAACTTAGAAAAACAGAAAAAGTTTGTTCAATAAGACACTTAGGCCCTGAAGACAGATTTGATGCAGTCTTGGAAGTGACAGTTTGCTTAGATAAGATGATTCTTGTTCATGTTGGCAATCATGTCCATGATAGTGGCTTTCAACACCTTTGAGGTTGTGGGGATATTGCTTGTTGAACCCTTGGTGATGTTATGAATGATCTGGGATCAGTTGGGTATAAGTTTATATTATGTTATATTCAATTCCTATTACAAGGTCAGGGAAATATACAGAATGGATGATCAATGCATGCATGCACTAACAAAGACAAAAGAAAATGTTCAGATGATTGAATAGCACCAATAACATGATTGAATGGGCAGCATTTGCTAGATTCAAACTTTAATTTCAAACCAAGAACATCCCTCCTTGCTCTTACAATGGCTAGGATGAGCAATAAAAATGATGAGTTTGATACCCTATCTTAGACCCAGATAAATTGTCCCAAAATAAATTTGAGAATTTATTTATTTATATATATATATATATATATATATATATGAAAAGTGCTAATACTTCAAAACATATGCATTGTTAGGTTGATGATCCATAAAGCAGTTGCAGGATACAAATGAAGTCAACCTAGTTCTGAGTGAGGCTGGTCTGTTATTACAACAACCTACCTTGATGATAAGTCAGTACCAAAACACAAATCCAGATAAAGGGTGGGTAGAGAAATAGGGTGTCATCCATTATAGATTTCAATGAAAATGATCTTTTATAAAAACAGTTAGTAGCCAGCTAGAAAAAAGAGCTTTACGGTCCCAGGTGCAGCCAGTCCCAGAAATGTCAGCAAATTGTGCAGTAGGAAGTCATAGTCTGAAGTAGAGTTTCAGAGAACCTGTGGAGAAAGAAAGTGATAATTTAGACAGTGTTTAACCTGTGGGAGATTGACTATCAACAAAGTCTCCCCACTCTTGTGTCCATCTGATGTGAGAAAGCTGTTGAAAAATCCTAGTAAGTAGTGAAGAATTTCTTTCACTCCATGTGCGGAGGAAGGGAAAAACTGATAAGCTGACTGGACAGAAATTAGACTAAGGTCTATAATCCTTCTATTAACATTGATATTTTAATCAAAGAGTTCCCTTTAAAAATGTAGGAATGAAAGAATTAAGCTGAGGTAGTCATAGCTAGAAATCAACTTTGAAGGACTTGTTAGTCTTAGAACAACTATGACTTTGTTTTGCTTAGTGATGAAGGAGGTTGTTTCAATGTTTGCCAAACCTTAATGAGTTGTATAATGATCACGGTTGATTATGGCTGCATTGTCTCTGTTTGTGTGTCTTTTTTGTGATTGAATGACCATCCCAAATTTTAGATGGTGCTTCAGCATTGGGCTTGAACACCTCTTCACACCAAAAATTCACATGGAACGAGGAAAATAAACAACTCCCAGTCAGTCTGGACAATCCAAACCTTGGGCTGAGCAATAAAATCATAAAATTGGAGACAAAAAAAAACATTAATTTTTTTTTTTTATACCCTAAAAAATCAAATATTTTAGTGAATTTTAAGGTACTTATTTTGTAATAAACAAAAAAAAAATTAATTTTTTTCTAAATTTTGTAGAAATATTTTTTATATCTACTATTGAACATACATGCACACATACACACAAAAACATACATACGCACACACACACACAAAAACATACATGTACACAACTTGAATGAAACTGAAATGGACATGTATGTTATGAGGGATAATTTTCCTTTTTCTCTGGAAATGACACCTTTTAAGTCTTTTTTAGGATTCCTGTATTTAAACAATATATTTTCTAATATATATTGTATTTTAAATGGAGAATCTAGATTTGAAATTTGATCATCTTGCCATCAGAAAAGTGGCAGGTATTGAACCTCTTCTTTTGCTGTGTTGTGTCCCTTCAGGATGTGGACAAGCATGGCTCTACACAATTTTCTATCCTTTGTAGCTCTTTGTAAGGTTTGTCTTTTTGTTATCTCTACCCAGTTCTGCCATCCATTTACACAAGTGCAATTGGTAGGTTACTTAATACATTCCTCTGTCCTTTTTTCCCCCCTTCAGTATGTCGTGTGATTGTCAAATTCTCCAACCCCTCCTTTTAACTGTCTCTTTCTGACTCTAAGTGTCCTCTTTATTTCCATTTTAGTAAAGTTTCCAGTCTTTGCTATTCTTAGCTTCCTTCTGTAGAACTATAGTTGTTTCCTCAAGTCTCTTCTTCGTCTGTGAGTAGATGTCAAAAATTCACTGCCATATAGGAAGACTGATATTACATAACAGTTTAGTACAATTTTCTTTGTTTCTGATGAAATTTTCCTGTTTCTTAATACTTTGCTTAGCTTTCAGAAGGCACCTTTTGCTGTTGCAACACACCTTCATACTTTGGCATCATGTTTTCCATTTTCTTTTAGAACACTTCTCAGTTATTTACATTTTTGAGCTAGTGGTATGTAAAGTTTTATCTTGGTCCCTGAATGAAGGTTGTAGATGGATGTAGTGCACAGGTGAAGTTGAATTTTTTTTTTTCCATGGGTTTTGTTGGTATCTGAAGGTTACATATCTACAGTTTAATTATCTG